AAGAAAGGTAAATACAAAGTCTGTATTTTGGGGGGGGGGGGTTGTCCCAGCACCAACAATCAAACAGCAGTGTGAACAAGGGTGTCTCCAGGAGATTATTTAAAAATGCCAAGATGGCAGCTGCAACAGTACGATTTAAACTCTGCCACTCTTGGTGAAAGAAAATAAATGGAAGGATCCATGAAAAAATACAGGAAGGTTGGAGTTGGAAAGCAATGCAAATGTTAGGTAGTTTGGAGGAGGGAGTGGGAAGCGCCTCTATTCCCTCTATTAGGCAAGTGCCCTGCATCTCCTAAATTTGTCTCCTTCCCTCAAATAAGATAGAGGAGACTGTACCATCACCAGTATTGAAATAAGAATAAACTGCAAGTTTGGTCACTTCATGTAGGTGGAATGTTAGGGGCCCCATCTTATTTTTTACTTCAGGCAATAAAATGCTTTGGGCTAGCTGCGGCCATATGAAAGTATCCATTCAGAGCCTATGCCACATGGAAGAATACGATTTCAGGCCTTTGTCTAACAACTCTCTGGTACAAATCCCATGGATAATCGCACTAAAATAATGTGGATTTTCTAGTTTTAGCTACAAATGTATAGAAAGGAAGTTGCCTTCCTGAAGAAGACCCAGCTAGAAAGCAAAGGTGTCCATTCCTAACCATGATAATGCCAAAAGGGTGAAGCATGAGTTGTGATGTCACAACATAAGCTCAGTTCTTTTGCATTTGCATCACATGGAAGCACACAATGGACAGAGTTTGCATCACAACACACATTTCATCAGTTTTAGCCTACCTCACCCAAAGACACCTATGGTTGCAAGTATAATCACCCTAGACTGCTACCAAATAGCATAGGTGTCACCAGTTCCTAGTTTCTAACTACTTGCTGGCCACACTATAAAAAGGGAAAATAATGTGGCTAAGTAAAATGGAGTGACTACGAGTATCCATAATTTACTTGTTTTATTGTGAGTCCATTGTCTGCATGCTGCCAGCTGTGAAACTGCAACAGGCCATAATTAAACAGCAAAAGGGAGTAAACACAACTAGTTAAGAGTAATTTGGTGCAGAGAGAAGCACAAGGTGACTTTTTGAGATTTTTATTAGCGCAAAGCAGGAGGAAAAAACAAACAACTGTGAAACTTACAGTTTAAATGAGTCCATGGTGATTGTAAAGTACTACTAAAGATTTGCTTGCACTACAAAATAGCAATGCCACAAAGGATAACTTAGAAGGTCATGTTTTCAGCTCATCTGATTTATTTGCAGCTGCAGTCTTGAATTTGTTTACATCTCTGCAGCATTTTGAGTTCAGTGGGGTTTTACAAAAGCAATGAGAGTTACGGCTCAGGTTAAGAAGCCGCATTACTGATATATAGTGAAACAGTTCACTATTTCTGGTTACAATACAGAGAATTGCATTTCATGGATAGAATAATGATTGAATTAGAAGCTTATGACAGCTGCCATTGTTATGGTCTTTCTCCACTGGCAAGCCATAGCGCACTCCTATTCAGAGTGATGTCACTGCCGATTGCGATGGCATTATAAGAAACTGAGACGAAGATGCAGACTTCAAAAAACGTAACTGTCCTCTAGACACTGCCAGTTTTCTACTGCAGAACTACTATAGAAACAAACCACAGCTTCTCTCTAGCCTTTTGTTCATCAAACACCCCCCCCAACTTGTTTCTTGTCATTTATGATTAGTGGATTATTCAGATGGCTTGGCAGGTATTGGCCTTACTCTATCACCTGAGAGAGGTTTAACGTCAGGCATCTCTTCACCATGCTTGTACACGCTGATAGTGACGTCTACTATCTCCCCTCCATATTTGTTCTTGACACTGATGCTGTATTTTCCAGAGTCTTCTGATGACACCCCCTTAATTACCAACTTGGCATGCTTCCCTTGCTCCAATTTAGCTACATAATGATCATTCAGTTCAAGTTCCCTGTCATTCTTAAACCAGACCACTTCAGGGTCAGGATTACCAAACACAGTGCAGGTCAGATTCAGGGTCTAAAAGAAAAAGAAGAAAAAGAAAAATTACACGGTGGTTTTAGTTATTGGCCTAATATTCAAACAAGGCAAGGCAACCATCTCAGGTGACCGACACCGAGGGATAACAGTAAAGTGGCAAGAGAACAGAGCTCTAAGTGCTTTGCAGCCTTCTTTGCATCTCCTAAACTAGCTTGTTGACTCATAACTGGTCCCAAACTATGATTCATGTTTCACTCTGGTACATTCATGTGGAATGCTCTATCTAAAATGGAAAAGGGCACCATTTATCCTTGACTCCAGGCTGCAAAATGTCTTGGGATTGGCCTTGATAATGTTTAAAATCAGAAATCTTTCATGCCATAGAGTTCTTCAAAAAACAATGACACTGATTCTAAGAATGCTGAAGGGAAGAAAACTAATTGGATGACAAAGGGAAAAAAACCCTCTCTGGAGGATTGGTGAACCCTCCCAGACAGCAGGAAATATTACTGGGGTTGTTAAGAAAGGGGAAGATTGGGGAATCCCCCAGCAGTCTAGAGAGGCTTTTCAGAAGGTATATAAGAGAATCCAAGAGAGGATGGGAAAAAATTTCTTCCATTCATTTAACTTCAGACCAAGCCATTGTAAATTAGTTACTCTCTGGCCTGGCACTGGATGAAGATGTGTTTTTTGCACTTGTAGTTTCCATGTTGCGATTGATTAAATCACTGGTGCACTTCTTCACAATTTCTTCCTGTCTTAGCGGCAATACCAAAAGCATCAAGCATATTCCTCAAAGGTAAACTTGCATTAGATATACCTCCAAGTTAGCAGCTATTATGAAATAATAACACCTCAAGAGTACATTGTGTGAAGAGAGTCAGATGGAAGGTCACTGTAGACCTGCCTGAAGTAAACCTCCACTGAACCATTAGCTGGCTTAAACATCATTTCTGAAGCTTCTTCCTTGCAGGACACTTCGGATTTCTGAATAAGCCAGTTCAGAAACCAAGACCTTGGGGAGCTTAATTAATTCTAGTTGTATGGATCCCATAGGTAAATTCAATTGTAGTAGTGTCTTGTCCCACCTGTTCTGTCATCTTGTTCATTACCTGAAAAGGCATTGCCTGTATTTTCTTTCTAGATCTGTTTATGTGAGCTATTGTGTCTGCTAGACACATTAAAAGAAAATAATAATAATAATAATAATAATAATAATAATAATAATAATAATATCTGCCTATCCCAGGTCCTT